CGGGCCGGGCGGGGCGGGGCGGCCTCGCGCGGGCGCGGCACGCCCCGGCGGGCAGACGGGCGGTGGCGGCGTCAACGCGGCGGGCACCCGCCCCCGCGCCTCCCGGCGGCCCGCCCCCCGCCGCCGCCGCCCGCCGGCGCTTAGGCCCCGCGCAACCCGCACCAGCGGCCCGCTCCGTCGGCGAGAGCGGCAACAAAGGCACCCCGCAAGCCGCCGCCTGCCCGCCCCGCCTCGGCCCCCGCGGCCCCCGCGCCGCAGGTAAGAGCGGCGCCCCGGCAGCGCCGGGAGGACGGCCGCCGCGGAAGAGCAGCCGCCCCCGCTTCGCCGGGCGGACCGGCGGTATGTGCGGGAGGCGCGAGAGGCTGTGGGTTTTTTTTCGTGGCGGCGTTGTGGGGAGAGGTGTGATGGCGAGAGAGGAGATGGTGGAGTGGAGGTATAAGTGAAAGGTTGGATGCGGTGATTTATTATCCCTTGCCGAGGCGGGAGGAGGAGGAGGAGGAGGAGGGGAGAGAGGGGTCTGCGAGACTTGGGCGATAAAATCAATCTGCTGCATGTTCTCCCTGGCGTGAGCTGCCGTGGTGAAACGCGAAGCCGGGGCAGCGATGGGAATGAATATCGCAACATTATTGTTATTTATCGGCGGCGGTCTGGAAGAGGCAAGGGGTTTGTGCAGGAAGTGCATTGATAATTTGGGACATTTTCTATTGTGAACCAGAAGAAAGAGGGCACCCGACTTCCTCGATATGTGTTTGAAACTGTTCAGGTTCCTGCTGATGGTGTGCATTTTTGAAAGGGTAGAAATTATATCATAAGCATATTAAAATAAATACAGCTGCAGACTGGGAGGGGAGCAAAATCGATCATTCCAGCCGCTTAGGAAAGAATTTGATTCTAGAAATTACGTAGAAATGAAAGGAAAAGATTAATGATGCTGTTAAGTCTGCTTTTGAATTAGAGCGCTTCTCCCTTTGGCTGCAGCAAGGTTGTTTTTCAGATCCTTTTATTTCATCCGGTAATTTGTGAACTCTCAGGTCTTCCCCGCACCCAGAGACAATGCTCTGTATTTCATGCAATAAGGCTTCTGCCAAGGATTGTGCATGCCAACCGACCTGGCATTTATTAAGGATTTATTGACCTATGGGTGTCTCTCTCTCTCTTTTTCTAATTTGAAAAGGCTCAATCGGGGCACCTGTGACTAAATCATAATTTTTGAAGAAAAAAAATGGTTGTAGAGGGGTGGAGGAAGCATACGAATTCACTGGCGAGGCACTGAATGGAATAGCTACATTTATATTGGTTTGTGTATATTTCTCGCTACATATGTGTGTATACATGGATACGTTGCTGGGAGGAATGCCTGGTACTTAAGAGCCCATTTGAGATATATATATAGATAGATATAGATATGTTAATAAATTGTCCTCTTCTGAGAATGAAAGTGTCCCTCTGCTTTGGAAATGACTAGACAAGACTGTGCTGTTTATTGGCAGTGTGTGAATTATATCGGCAGTAATAAATAAGCAACTGTTTGTTGAATTTTTTTTCTTGGGTCTCTCTCCTTTCTTTTACAGTGTCTTCATCTCTGTCTTTTTCCCGTCCTTTTTTTTTTCCTCCTTTTTTCTTTCTTTCTTTTTTTTTCCCTCTGTCTCTTTTTCCTTTCTCTTTACCCCTCTTGTCGCTGCTGCTGCTCTGTGTGTGTGTGTGTGTGTGTGAGTGAGGGGGAAGGCAGGCGCCGCAGCCAGAGGCAGGCAGCGGGCAGGGATGCTCGCGAGGTGGGATCCCCGCGCGGCGGCTCTCCGCGGACACCTGTAGGGATCGCTCTGGCACGCAGGGCGGCCGCGCTCACACACTCACACACTCACATTCACACGCGCGTCCTTGCCTGGCTCCCCCCACCCTCCCCGCCCCGGCAGACACCACGGGCTCCTCCTGGCACCCTCCTGCTCCTGCGCCCAGGAACGGAGGCGCAAAGCCCTTCCCTGATTCCCCCGCGCGCTCCCGCACAAGAACCGCGCGGACCCACGGCGCCCCCCTCCCCGGCGGCACTCCCCGCATTCTCCCCACCCGCTCTTGCTTCCTAGCTCCACTTCCACTAAACCTGGTAACCCCGGGAACGCCGCAACACACACAACAACACACAGCAACACACAGTGCGCAACACACACACGCCTGCCGCCCGCCTCCCCACGCATCCCCACTCCACAAACCTAACATGCAGCCCTCCCCTTCCCCCCACGCCACTCCGGACCCCCTCTACTACAGCACATCCCCTCCTCGCCATGTTCATTTCTCAGCGCCGGCGACCCCCCGGCACGGAACAAGCCGTGGATCACAACCGCCCACCAGCGCAACCGGCTTTCCGCAACCCCCTCACGCACTCCTAAAGAATCGCTCCTCTTCGCTACTCCTTCCCTCCGCTCCGCAGCGGGCCCCAACTGCCGCCCGCAGCTCCCCTCCCCGCCTCGGTTGAGCCACTCGTGCACAATGGTGGGCCCTCCATTCGTAGTCCACCCCGCGCCGGGCAGGAAGGCCGCGGGCGGGCCCCATCGCGCTCAGGGCGGCAGGGCCCGCCGCCTGCGCCCCGTCGGGCCGGCGCAAGGGCCGGAGCCACTGTTCCGGGTGCCTGAACGCGGGAAGCGGCCCGATCGGCGGGTGGCGTGCAAGCAAAGCGGACCCCTGCCCGCGGCCCCGCCGCGCCCCCGGAAAGGACGCTCTGGGGAGCGGAGGCTGCGGGGGCTCCCGCCACGGGCCCTCCCGGGCACCGCACTGTGCGGGGGAGCCGCCGGAAAATCCCTCGGCCGGTAGCCGCGGTGCGTGAGGTGGCTACTGCCGGGGGGCAGGGAGGGTGTGGGGAGAACAGCAGGGTCTGCCTGCTGCTGGTGGCACAGCTGGCCTCTGCCCCCGAAGTTTGGGGGTTCTCCCGTCCTCCCTTTTGCTGCTTTTGCCCACCTCGCGTGTGACAAATAATAAAAATAATCGTGTTGACATTTAGAGGAATGAAATTAAATATAAAGAGAGAGTAGGAGGTGACTTAGCAGCTCTGAACGTGTCAGGTGCAGGCAGCTGAGGTGTGTGCCTGTTTTTAAAACATGTTTCTCCCTGGCAGGGTCATCTCTACCTCCTCTCCCCACACACAGAGACACAAACACACACACACACACACACACACACACACCAGCCCAGCACAGGGCTTGGCAGCAGCTCTGGACATGCTATTCTGCCTGCCTAAGTGCTGCTGGCAAAGAAATGTAAGGGAGTTGAAGGGGAAGTGGTGGGTGAGGGAGATGCTGGAGATCCTCTCTTCCATCAGGAGAGGTCTGCTAATACACAGCTTCCAGAAAAGATGTAGTGTCTTGGGGGAGAAAAACAGAGAGCAGAGCCTCTCTGCTGAAATGCTTTCAATGTAGAGACCTCTTCAGAGGATGAGAGTGAACTGTGGCATCTATATAATTTTTTAAATGAGGAGTTGTTCTCTTAAATAAGGGCAGCTGAGTAAACATACATAAAATACCGCAACCCATTTCAGAGGACTAACACCTGGGATTAGCTGATTTGCATAGTGAATAATGTCAACATCAGAGCTGGCTTGAATTGGATTTTCCCTGCCATAACAGAGAATATCAACCCTAAAAGGAACCAAGTGGCAGAGAAAAAAATGTGGTTTGAAATTTTCAAAAAGCTTTCTAAGAAACCATTGCAATTCTTCCTCACCCCATGAAAATAAACCAGTAGGTGTGCCAGGTACAGTGGAGGCTGTCAGTTCTTGCTAGGAGCTCAGTCCACTTTATTTTTTTGACCTGTATTGGAAACAACTGGAACTGGGCTTGGCAGCATTGTCTGCATTAATAGGACCCTTGTAGCTTCACAGGTGCTGGTGTTTCCATGAATAAATTACAATAAAATAAATTGCAGAATAAACACCACTTTTTCTGTTTAACATTGTTCTTATAATAGTAAAATATACTACTGAAATATTTGGAAGTTTTGGAAAGGTAAGTAGTTTATGTATAGATTATACCATAAAAATGTAATCTAGTATAAGCATGTATGTTAAGATTTAGGTTCAGCACTGCAAGTTATTATAATTCCCCAGTAGCTCCAAAATTACAGCAGCATTTTTCTAATGTCCAACAGCGACTGAAATGAAAAAATAATCTCAAACATTCAATATTGATCAACTTTATGATTTAACGTGTTACGAGTCATCATTTCTTATTATTCTGTTTCAATTCCTTGCAGATTAGAAACAAAAACAATAGAGGAAAATCACCCCCCTGGATCTTAGCCTTGGCCTTTTGCAAGCAAACAGAAGAAGAGCTGTCAGGCTTTGCATGTCAAGTAGCCACTCGGCTGTTTGACAGCTTCTGGGTTTCAGCCCCATTGGGATTGAGGCAGCTCAGGAAACCACGAGCAATGAGTCCTGTCGTCTGCTGACGCTGCTCTAGCACCATGGCAGACGGTCTGTGATATGACAAGAGGATCCATGCTAGGGAGGCAGCGTTGGGATCAATAATTGGCTTCCTGGGAAACTACAGCTGGTGGAGAGGATGTAAAAAGAGGCGCGCACGTGCCAGGATATTGCTACAGTCTTGCCGAGCTGGTGGATCCACTTGGAGGAGAGTTTTGCCATTGATCTTGGTTTTTCTCCAGGTTTGGTAATGTTGGCTTTGGGGAAAATTTCTGCTGACTCACCCACCCCTGGACACCCTTTGCGGAGCCCAGCCGAGCAGTGAAGAGACCAAACGGCGCCTTACCCCCACTGTGGGTCCCCTCCAGCGGCCCCTGGCACCATCCCGTGCCCAACCGCATCCCGTGGGGCACCTGCAGCCCCCCGCCCCGGGGAGTCTCCCGCAGTGACCCCCGCACCCGGGGCGGGGGTGAGTGTGCCTGAACCTCCCAGCGCAGCCGGCGCCCAGCAAGATTTTACCCTGTCTGCCACCGGGGCCCCAGTGCTGCCCCCGCCAGCCCTGCGCCCCGCTCGCCCGCCCCAGGCGCGCAGGATGGGGGCGGCGCTGGTGCGGCGTGGGGGCTGCCTGCTGCTCTGGCTGGCCTTACTGCTGGGCTGCTGGGCAGAGCTGGGCAGCGGGCTGGAGTTCCCAGGTGCGGAGGGCCAGTGGACCCGCTTCCCCAAGTGGAACGCCTGCTGCGAGAGTGAGATGAGCTTCAATATGAAGACACGCAGCTCCAGTGGGCTGGTGCTCTACTTTGATGACGAGGGCTTCTGCGACTTTCTGGAGCTCATCCTCACCCAGGGCGGGCGGCTACAGCTCAGCTTCTCCATCTTCTGTGCTGAGCCCGCCACCCTGCTCTCGGACACGGCGGTCAACGACAACCTCTGGCACTCTGTTGTCATCCGCCGCCACTTCAAGAACACGACGCTGATCATTGACCGAGCCGAGACCAAGTGGGTGGAGGTGAAGTCCAAACGGCGGGACATGACTGTCTTTAGCGGGCTCTTCTTAGGGGGGCTCCCGCCGGAGCTGCGGTCGGCAACGCTAAAGCTGACACTCTCCTCTGTCAAGGACCGGGAGCCCTTCAAGGGCTGGATAACAGACGTCCGGGTCAACTACACGCAGGCGTCACCGGTGGAGAGCCAGGAGGTGCGGCTGGATGACGAGCAGAGCCGCCTGTGTGCCAGGGAGGACGTCTGCCTCAACGGGGGCGTCTGCTCGGTGCTCAATGACCAGGCCGTCTGTGACTGCTCCCAAACGGGCTTTCGAGGGAAGGACTGCAGTGAAGGTAAGGTGCCATTTCAGTTCGCCCCACCGCCCCCCTCCCCATCACTCCATGGAGGGGACGGGTAGGAGGCCAGGCCTGCATGAAGTTTCATCTGTACGAGTGGATCTTCTTCCCTCCCCTCCCTTTCCATCATGTTCCTGGTTCCCCTCTTCCCCACCTTCTCCTCCCCGTCTTCCACGTGTCTCTGTGGCCAACCATGGTGCCATCACTCTTCTGTTTTCTGAGAGGCTGGGTGAGAGAAGGAAGAGGAGCAGGATGTTATTTGAATGTCCTCCGGGGATGAGGGGGGGATTTGGGGTTGTTCTGGGCAAAGGGAAGATGGGTCCTGGATACCAGATGTCTCCTGGGTGGGAGGGGGTGGTTGGCATCATACTTGGCTGGAGTTGAAGGAGGGGATGGGCATGCTTATCACAAGCAGCTTGTGGTAATTAGTTTGGGGAGCAGGAAAAGCAGTTCTGGGGATAATTTTACTGAATTAAGTGCAAAGATGACCTGGGTTTGGTTTTGTAGGGTAGAGGAGACCCAGAGTCTACTTTGTATTTGATATTTGCCTCTGCTATGTCATTGAAATAAAATCAGTGATTTATTTGTGAATTCCTGAAATTGTTGCTGGGTAGAGGGGGATTAAACAGAGGATTATGTTTTTACATGGATGTGAATGGTACTGTTTTACAATGTATTTAGCAATTCACCATGCCAGAAGACAGGGAGAATGCAAAAGTGCAAGGGGGAAGTACATACTTCAAGACCACAAAATTACTGAATAGTTTTACTAAGGTAGAGGGAGCTTAGAAAAATAGCAGTTTCCTGAATCCCATCTACAAATAAATCACTGGGTAAAATATGATTCATATTCAGTGCCCATTGTTTTTGGCAAATGGAAGGAATGTGAGCATTTACTTTGCAGATGCATGCAAGACTCTTGGTTTTATTATTTTGTTAGTAAATGTACCATTGCTTGCAGCTCCCTAAGCATAGAAATTACATAGATTGTGTACCTAGAACAGGACGTAAAGGTGTATGAATGAAATAAGAGCAAATGTACCGAGGAAAAATATAATCATCATGTCAAAATTGGAGAGCAAAGACCTAAGTTTAAAATGTAAAAGGCAAATATAAATAAGATATTATCAAGGCCAAATTAAGATCTTCACTGAGTGGCTGCATGACATTTATGGCTGAATAATTTGCCTTTAGCATTTCTATCAGATTTCACTTATTATAAGAAAGAAAACATCATTTGTGACTGTGCTTTATTATGTAACACCTTCTGTCCTTAGTGTCAATATTCAAAACACTACAGTCATTCTGCATCCTTTTACTTTATCAGCTGTTTATCTCTCATCTGCCATTTGTAAAAAATTCAAACCCTATTAATATTTAAAATAATTCTTAATAAGAGCAAATGGTAGTTTCAGAAAACAAGGCATTTGTACTTTCAATTGCACCCATTCCCAGAAACTGTAAAATGTAATGTCTTTTGTAGTAGGTAGATCATCTTACTGGATTTAGTATTTGATGTCAATTTTTAATATATGATTCTACATAATATATAAGTGTATGCACAATATTGAATTGTCTTAGTTGGGCCCAAAAACCAAAAAGAAAATTGTGAGGTGTAGCAGCTTCATTAAAGCAACAATGGTAATTTAAATGCTATTATACCTTTGCATGCCCTTTACACTAGAACATAGTGTATTTATTTGAAGTTATTTTGAAACTATAATATTTATATAAAAACGTTCACATAATTGCATGTAACATAAATCAGATAAATTCTTACCTTTACATAATAATAGGTTCAATATCCATTTTTAGGGAACTTTTTTATGTTTAGATTGAATGTTAGTGAAATACATATTTATATTTATATACATTAAAAATTGTATGGAGCTTTTAAGAAGATGACTCTCAAAATAATACTTAGAATGCCCCAAAATTAAGGTAAAATGCTGACTTCATTTAAATACTGATGGGTTTACAATTGACCTCAGTGGGATCAAGATTCTCCTCACATGTCCCTTGACCACTAAGAAGCCTTATAAAATAATAGCAAGACTTATAATTTTAGCATATTCTCTCAACAAAGGATCATAAAGTATTCAGATTCTGATTTCATTTGGAACAGGAGACAACATTTCCCCTGCTAACAGTATAAATGGAACTAGTCCTACAGTTTATATTTGTTGATTGATAAAAGATATAACTGAAATTTCCATTGGTCACGTTTTGATGAAGAGAATAGAAGCTACTTATATATACTACTGAAGATATTATAAATTATTTAGTATTCTAAGAAATAGAAAAGGCAAAAGGATAAGTAAAGCCTTTATATCTGCCAAGAAAGAAACCCTGGCTACTGCTTAGTTTTTTGTAGCCAACAGAGAAATTAGGCTGTTGTGCTTTGATCTTTTGTTCCCGGAACATGTAAATTTTCCACAAACCTTGGCAAGAGATTGCCATTGCTAGAGGATCATCTCTGACATCTCATGCAATTATCTGGAGGGGTCTTTTGGGTTTTCACACTTACCCTTGTTTTGCTTTTTGTTTAAAAATGGTTTAGATTTTATCTGAAATTCTAGCCAGGTGTCCTAGTTGGTACCTTTTCTTTAAAGGTGAAAGATGGTCACTAAATTCGATATTCCTTTGATTTATTTTTTTTTTCTTGGATTTATTGTGGTTCTGTATCTCTGCAGTCTGGTAAGACAAAGAGTCCCACAGTGTAATGAGGAGGACTTTAGGAATCAATATCAACAACAATAAAGAAAACCTTTTCAGAATTTTCTATCCTGACTTGCATATTTGAAAGTTTAGAAATAATAGATTTACAATCAAAATTTCAAGTCTTAGGATGCCATTTTGGTTATAAGTTCAGGTTTTTTCAGGAGAAAATCTGGTGATGTTTTTTTTCAGATTTTCATCTTTGACAATCTCATTAATGTTTCCTGCAGTAATTTTTTTCTTATAAGAATGCAGTTCCACCAAGTTAGGTTTTTTCAAAAACACATATTAATATAAATTATTTCCAGTAGGCTTAGCTGGTTTTGCACCTGTCTAAATCAGGAGTAGCTTTATTTATGCTTTCTGAACTACACCAGTAAGAACAGTGCAAGCTAGGAAAGAACCATTCACTCATGCCCTTTGTTCAAATAGGATCTAAATTCTCTTCAATGGGAGCTTTGGCATAAATCACAGAAAAAGGACTGGAGTTTTGCCTAAGTGTCAAGGATGTCCAGTCCACAGCAGAGAAAATTATACTCTGTAGCAGTTCTGCTGTCGATGAGTCCATGAGTAAAAATGCTACAGGTGTCCTCTAAAAGAGATGATAAAATCTCTATTTAGTACTGAAGAAGGCAAGGGAATATTATTTCACATAATAATAGTGACTCAATAGAAGGAAAAATAAAATTATAATAAATTTTATTAGGAATAACACTAGCATTGAAATAAACCCTAATTGCCATATCAGTTTTCTGATAAATTTTTGACACACATTGCAATATATTCAGAGAAAATTATAAGATTTCCTGAAATTACTCAAATTGGTATGGCTTGATTCTATGATAGGGAGAGCTGTTTATTAAAAAGACAGATCTTTAAAGTCAGATTTTTAGTGAATTAAGTCAAGGTCCTAGAAAGTAAGGAGAACACCTTATTCATATCGATGAACCTCCATATTCCTCTTCTGACTTTACTCCTTACACTAAAATTTCAAAACCAAAACCTCCTATTTTGCATATTAAATTAGTAAAATAGTGACCTTCTGACTTTAGAGAAAAAGAAAAAGTATAATTTTCATTTCATCCTCATTTATATAAAAACGACCTTGTCTAGTATCCTGTCTGAGAAAATAAGCAGATACCTCTAAAAGAAGTAGTAAAATACACATGATTTGATTTGGAGGAATTTTCTCACTGATGCTAAGTTCTTGTCACTCCATGTCCTTCTGCTTTTCTATATCTGTAATTGCTTGAAAAAATTACTCACAGGATCATTTATCTTTTTAAAATATAGCTTGCCTACTTGCCTCAATGCTAGTATGCTATAGAGAGAATTGCTCAGTGAATTCAAAGTATTCCTGTTTTGAACATGTTTTATTTTAACTGTTCTACTGAGTTACTGGTTCATGAGAAAAATGAGGACTGTTCATGCAGCTATTCACTGTAAGAGATACTCTTCCTTGTCAGATATTCAAAAGTTGATGCCAGCTATGGTTTGAACTGTGAAAGTGATTTTTGAGGAAGCGAGTTCCAGATGTCTCTGGCTAGCCAGCATTTAGATTTGTTTGTTTGGGTTCTGATTATATTACATCAGTCTTTGTTGTGCATATTTCCTTTTTCATGTTAACTTTCTAAAAAGTCATCCAATATTTATAACTCTTTGAAAATTTTCCTATTTTAATCCATTTAATTCTCTTATACCATGAATGAAACATTTAAACTTCTTTTGGCATTAATTATCTATTGCAAGATACATGTTTGAGTGAGGTGCTGTTGAACTCATTGCCTATAGTCAGTCTTATCAGAGTAGTCACCATGGTCTTTATTCTTCTTGAATAGTTAGATAAATTTACTTTGGCGTAGTAAATACTGTGAACAAAACTTTCCTTTTGATTTACACTTCAGAATTTTTACCTACACTGTGCATCTCTATTAAACGATCTGTATTCCTTCTGCATGCTGAATTTCTTGTTAGTGCCAATGGCCACTGGGGTGATGTTGATTTAGAAGGAGGGGTAGAAATCCACCAGAGATTGTGCTAAGCTTGTGTTGTATTTAGCAATTATGTAATTAATTTAACAATCATTTTTTTCACTTTATTTAATATTTTTAAATGGTGACTTTGTTGTCAGAGTAGAATCTTGAGCGCAGGTAGTCAAGTGATCCAAAAGTCTTTCAGAACTGTGTTAAACCTGTGCCCTTCACCTTTAGTCATATGAAAACACAATCCTTATGTCAGTTTAAAGCACAATTTTGCATCATTTTCATAATGCAATTTGA